CATTTGCTCATCAAATCGATTTCAGACTCGATTTGAGCACGATGAGTTTAAAATGAAATAGTCAAAATCATGTGACCGCAAAACTCGAGTTTAACCGGTTCAGGATTCAAACAGGGCCAAACTGAGTTTGGACGAACAGGATAACATCCCTAATTACAATTCAGTATAAGCAATCGCCCATTATAGTTTTACGATGCCCTTTAAAAGTAAAAGAAAAAACCCGAAGTGTTTTTAAATGACCCTCCCGTTTACGGAACTTATCCATTCTGCGGCGACACATAAAACTCTAGTATTGTATTAATCTAGACCTGGACAATGCTTATCAAGAGCTACTTCTATAATCTACAATATCAAATCGTAAACAAACAGCATTAAAGTCTTAATCTAACAAAATACTTAATATTTTCCTTATTTTTAAATAATAAGTAATAGCCTTTTTATAATTTAATTTTATGGTAACATGGCTTTTCATATTACTATTATCTAGAAATAATGTAAATTTTCAACCATATGACATTTGGAGGATGTAATGAACCCAATTCCCTAGTACTATTTCTAATTCTACTTTGCCCCTTAAGTATTGCAAGCTCACCCTACTATAATATAACAATGCAATATTTGTTTTGGTAATCCCTCTCGCCCATTCCTAAAATACGAGAAACTTTATTTAATTTTATAATTTTTTATGATTTAGCTGTGGCAAACATATCGTGTATATAAATCTGCGAATTAACTTTTTATAACCTCCGACGAAAAAGTAAATGAAGAAAGAATTCATGCCATATGTATATGATTAATAAAGTTGATAGTGAAAATTTTATAAAAAAAATAAGGACGTATTAAATTTATACATACGTACGTAGTTGAATTCTTGTACAACGTGCAATTACGTAACATTAAAGACTTGATTTATTCCAGGTTTTCCAGCTGATTGATAAACAAAAAAACTTGTACGATTTCACCGAAGACTGATTTCAAACTTTACCAATTTCCATATTAAAAGGTTAATACTGTAGCCCTAATTGCTATCGCTATTCTTGATGAATTAGCAATTAAAAATTCTCTCGGCGAAAGGTGAAATGTTTGATATCTGATTTTAAATTTAGCCGACATAAACGGGTGATTTTTTGGCTAAACCAATATAGCTACTGCGGTAAATGAATAGTTTTCAACATACGAGTTAACAATTAAATCTGATATACGTAATACTGCACTAGTTTTTATAAATACGAGTTTATAATTATAATCATGTATATTTTAATCGTTAATATTGAATAATCAGAGTTTCTTTAGGCTAAGGTCCATAACATATATTCGTTATATGAAAACATATCATGATTCAAACACACGTTATTCTTCTCATTGTAGTAACTATGGCGCTCCAAAAAGATTATGTGACCCACGACTCTTAGGAGAGGGAGTGGTTTGATTACCCCACTGCTAACTCGTTGAGGAAACTTGCCTCATGCCCTACTTTATAGATCTACCGATCTCTATACTATACAAATCCCAACATCTATACTACCGTTAATGACATTAAATTTATTTTGACGATTATCTTCGTGATTCCGAGGAATTGAAGAATCATTAGTTCTTAAGACAGAAACTAGCTTCTGTTCGTGTTCTGCAAATATCTCCAAAGCAATATTATTACAGAAAAGGAGCGGTAACATATCTGGTCATTTTAGTAAATTTAAGTTAAAAAGACTTGAAAAATCGGTTCTATATATATTCAGTTATTTTAATTTTTCGGTTTTGTTACGTTTTGAACTTTTGAACTCAAGACGGAATGTCAATGGTAATGTTAATTATGGTATTTAAATTTGAGCATAATTGATTTGGAAGTGAGAAAAGGATTTTTTTTCACTTCGTATTTCTAGGACTCATGATTTTTTAAACTTTTTATAGGATTTTTTTCATTGTTATTTTAACATTTAGCCAGAATATTCTCTATTTTAATTTCTGAAGAATAGCTATGGATGTTAACCTCTCCTTTTAAACTTATTAACGAATGATCTAGTATAACTTATAAATAAATTATATATTGGTTGTTATTGAAACCATTCATTGACTGAATTTCATCTTTTGCATTCATTATCCATTAAATCAATTCGAAAGAATGAAAAAGTAATCTAAAATGTTATCCCGAGTTTAAGAGTTGTATATACTATTAGAGCAATGCCAAGTCTACATAATATACTCACATTTTTTTATAATATACTGTAGTATTCATGAATATTTAATAATGACAATCATGCAAAATAATACCATAAAGAATATTGGTGCGTTTAAAATATGAATTATCAAAACTAACAATTTATCACCTAGAAAATTATGTTAACAGCCAATTCATCATGAATTTTTATATAAATAATATTTAAAGTTGACATTAATATTTGATTAGAAGACGGTTATTTCTAATTATTAAATCATATTAAGCTATATCTCTTATAGTGTAATGAATTATAATTGAGTAATATTAATATGAATACATTACTTGTATTGATAACCTATTTCGATAAAAGTCACATTTACACAAAATTTTTGATAACATTGTACAGTGCTCTAAATACAGAAATTGTTATGTACTGTACAAATGTATAACAAACTGTATATGAAAATGACGCAACATAACTGCCAAGCCAAATAGGTCATTTTAATTCAAAAAAGAAATAAATAGGCCAGAAAAGAAAAGAAAAGACCACATAATTAAATATTATTGGTTAATTTTCAGCATAAACAAAACTCTACCTTTTAACTCTACATAGTATACTTACGAATTCACTGTAACCATATTTATAAAATGATTTAAAATTTTTTGAACAACTTTCTCAAGATTTTACTCCTTTTGGAAAACGAATATGATTATAATGTGGTAAATGAAGTCGGTAAACAACAACTTTTTAAAGCACATTCAGTAATCTTATACCAACGTTCATCATACTTTCGCCAAAATTTTACAAATGAAGTTAAGAAAAATAATATTATTGAAAGTAAGCTACCACATATTTCTGTCAAAATATTATTAAGTAAGTTATAATATAATACTATAATTTTCAAATTATTATGAAACATTAATTCATATTCTTATTATACAGATATATCTATGGAGGTGTAGTTTCTTTAGAAAATTTAATCTTTCAAGTGTTTTTGAACTCTTAGTTGCTGCAAATGAACTTGAGCTTATAGAATTAGCTGAATACCTTCAGTCTCACCTTATCAATAATAATTCATTTTGGCTTCGTTTGAATTTTTCTCGTGTTTATCAAATAAGCTTTCTTGGGAAAAATCTTAAGTCTTTACAGCAATTTTGCAATGATATAATTGTAAAATATCCAAGCATGATCTTTAACTCTGATGATTTTACTACTCATCATAAGGATACTTTGATTACTCTTTTAAAAAAATGAAAATTTACAAATTGAGGAATAAGAAATTTGGGATAAAGTTATCTTATGGTGAAAGGCAAAAACTCCAAGCTTACCACCTAATCTTAAAGATTGGACTAATAATAATTTTAAGTCTTTAAAAGCTACTCTTCAACAACGTCTTCCTCATATTAGATACTTTCAAATTCCTGGAAAAGATGCATTGAAGATAATTAACCCTATCAAAATATTCTTAAGGATAATTTGTGGGATGACATTATGACAAGATTTGCAGATCCAGATGTGCCTATCACATATCCCGTTTTACCTCCTCGTAAAAATCGAAAAGATTCGGTTATTACACCATCATATTCAATAATTACATCACAGCATGCAGCAGAGATTTCATCGTGGATCGATCGATGCTCAACAATTTATGATATCACAAATATTCCATATGAATTTAGACTTATACTAAGTGGCAGTAGGGATGGATTCACGGGTGATGCATTTCATAAGTTATGTGACAATATACCTGGTACTGTGGTTATTGTAAAGATTAATAGTACAAATGAAATACTTGGTGGTTATAATCCTCTTATTTGGAAAAGTATGCAGCAACAGATGATGCTTTATTTTTTTTTAAAAAATGGGATCCAGAATCAATATATTCTTAGTCGTGTAAAAATTACATCATTCGTAATTTGTTATATGAAATCAAAAGGTCCATGGTTTAGTGGGTTTGACCTTGGAATGGGAGATGTTAATAACCCTAAAAAATGGCATTGTCATAAGAGTTCATATGATAAATCTATCAGAAATACAGATGGATGGTTTACTGTAGATGAATATGAAGTATTTTAAATTTGTAAAAAGATATAATAACTTTTCTGCTAATTAGAGCCATTACATTTTTAGCATATAAAATGAAACTTTTATTTAATATACATTGATTAGTTAAATATGCAGTAAACATTTCTCTCGATAATAAATTACTAACATTTAAATTTTAAATATTCATTAATAATTTCAGAGGAACTTAAATTCAAGTGATGATACATGAAAAATTACGTACGATTCCTATACATGGAATTTAAATTATTGGCTTTTAATCATAAAATATTTCGTCTTTGCCACGTTTTATGTGAGCCTCACAAATAGCTGTACTGTTCAATATATTTGGTTAAATAGCGTCATATGACGTCCCCGACCATTACGGTTAGGGGTTTTTATAAATATATATATATTTGGTTATAATTAATATGGTAAATATTATTAAAATATTCCATATGTAAAATAATGAAAGAGCTGTTTGATATATCTCCGGCTAGAAGTTCCAAATTCATTTAATAGAAATATCACCGGAAAAATATCAAGACACATCATGCCATAATTTTGTGCACTATATGCCAACTGTAAAAAATTGATGTGGGGCTGAACTGAAATTTATGACCTCAATTTAGATTTATAAAATTTATTAAACCGACTTATAGACTTAAATAACAATTACAACTCTAAATTTTAATTCAACTATTGCAAAAAAACCAAAAATAAAAAATTACATCCCAAGAATTTTAATAAAATGGATCAAATTTTCAGATTCAGCCACCATAATTAATTTCGTTAACCATAAAAAAACAGTTGACAGTCTGAAACAATTATTCATTAAAAGTAATTTAGATGCTTATAGGTAATGAATTTCACGAATTTCCATTAATATCAGTAATAAAGTTAATCATTGTAATTTCTTAGCATCATATTACGTGCAAAATAAGAAACAATTACGGTATCAAGTTTAATATAGGGACCCCACTCTAAATTCAATTGATTATCGCCTTTCGATTTAGTTGGATCGAAGATTTTTTTTTTTTTGTCCGTGAGTCTCATCTATGTTTGTAATTGTTGGTTGTTTATTATCATAACATAATAGGCAGCTAATAATTCAAATAATCGTTATATGCAGAATATATGCATATATGAAACTCACGGATTCCCGGATTCATGGAACTCACGGACAAAAAAAAAATTCATCGATCCAACTAAATCGAAAAGAGTGATAGCAATCAATTTTAATGAATTTTATTAGTGGGGTCCCTTATACTAAACTTGATCACAATTACGTACGTTTATAATGATTTTATTTCCAAAGCATCACAGAAACTATCATAACTATGTAAAAATCAAAAACTTTTAGACACCAGATAATTTATTTCAAAGAAAAATTACTGCAAATAATGATAAAAAAGCTAGATGCAAAAATAAAAATCAATAAAATTTTGACAGTCAGGCAAACGATCAAAATAACACCAGCAACAGTCGTTGAAAATTTAAAAGCTAATAACGTTAATTCTAATGTTTATTACTTAGATAATTATTTAATTTTAATTTGCAGTAAAGTTTGTTTGAAAAGCAAATTGCAAAATATTAAAACAAAACTTTGCTGGAATACAATCACCACTTAATCGTATGTCTATAATTGGACTTATGAAAATAATTATAGTTGGTTAAAGGAAATTATTAATTGTTTGGCACGTAAGTATCACATATTTTATATTATACATATGAATAGTCACTCTTGAGTGTTTATATTACATGAAGTAAGTTATACTATTTTGAAATAAACGATTTGAGCTTTGAGCCTGTCCTATTCAAGTTTTATTGTTGCATTATGCAAAATAAATAGAAATGAACTTGCAATATTTTTTGTCATGTGATATTGGTGTGTTATTTTATTTCCTACTCAGTGAACATGAAGATTCGAGAACACATGATTTTTTATATGGTTTATAATTGAATTTAATCATAAAAATCAAACTTTATTAATATAAGTGTTATGTTGAGCAAAGAATCAGTATATTGAAAGCAATAAAAATATTTAATATACAATTTTTTATTTAACAGCAAAATATAATTTAAGTTAAATTTTGCAAATTTGAAATACTTCATATTCATCTATAGAAAACCAATCATTTAACCTTGTAATTGAATCATATTCATATTGACCCGAATGATACCACCTTTCAGTATTCTCATTACTTCCAAAGGAACTAGATCCAAACCATGGACCAAGTGATATAAATCTATGATAAATTGCATTTGATGTATTTTTTACACGACTAAGGATAGATTGATTCAGGTTTCCATTTTTTAAAGAGAAAATAAAGCTATCATTGGTTTTAGCATACGTCCAATTATCGACTTTCCAGATAAGAGGATTATAACCACCAAGTATTTCATTCGTATTATTAATCTTTACAATAATCACAGTACCAGGTATATTATCACATATCTTGTGGAATATCTCG